CTTTGTATTTTAATCTAACATGCACGTAGATGTTAAATGGTCTTTGGCTCCACGGACCGGCCCGTTTAGCCCGAGAAAAAACAGGGTTAGGGCCTTTTATTGGCAGCCCGTTTAAATCTGGGTTTTTTAGGCCCGGACAGTTTAGCCCGAAATCCGCTAGGACTAGCCCGAAATCCGCTAGGGCAAGCCCGTTACCTTGAGTTGGGTGGTGTATATGTTTTTAGAAAGGTAAGGAATATGTCTCATTCATTGTATGTTACAATTTTGTTATTCTATCTCATTCATTGTATGTTACAATTTTGTTATTCTACTTCACATGTAATTATGAGTTATAATGTATTATTATTATTGATAGATAATTTTAACAAATTTTATTATATTTCACAACAAAATATTTAAACCAATCATAACGGCTAATAAAAAACAAATGAGACAAAGACCTAACACATAGAATATAGTGATAGAATATAAATTCAGCAGTATGCTATATTGTGAAAATTCCCGAAGCGTACCAAATAACTAGTCAAATAATAGTTATAAGTAATAGTTCGAACATTTTTTTTTTCTATTGAGAAACTATATGTTATTTAAGAGTTTGTAATGTGTGTTCATATATGAAGTGTATTTGTATATATATAGTGGTAAATACTAAGCCGTTGAGAAAAACCGTTAACTAGGTATTGTAATTTTTATTTTTATTATTATTATAGCTCGTATAGCCCGAAACCCGCTAGGTTGAGGGTTAGGTATTTTTATTGTAGCCCGTTTAAATTCGGGTTTTTTAGGCCCGGACCGTTTAGCCCGAAGCCCGCTAGAGCTAGCCCGAAACCGCTAGAACTAGCCCGTTTAATATCTCTACATGATGCACGTGGATGGTGTGTGCCAAATGTATGGTATAAAATCCGAAGTGTTGTAATGTTATTTTATGTTTGAAATATTTATAATCGAGTCGTTGTAATTAAACCTTAATTCTTGTAATATTAGCTTGCGTTTATTGTTGAAATATATGTAGTGTGAAGGCATTATCCAATGCATAACCATTGGGTTAGGCCTCAACGAGCCAAGTTGAGTTCGAGTTTAAGGTGTTCGAACTCGATCCTTTAACAAGTCAAGCCGAGTTTGACTCGTTAAATAAACGAGCATGAAATAGATTTTGAGTTCGACTCGTTTATCACTAATAATGAGCGGATCTCGAGTTTTAATGAGTTAGAACAATAGAAAATTATATACAAATTATTTTTTTAGCTTTATCGAGTCAAGTCGTAGCCAAGCTCAACTCGTTAACTAAACGAGCTTTAAATAAACTCGAACTCAACTCGTCTATCAAACGGCAGTCTTAACTAGCTTGTGCTTCTTGTTTCCGTTGGTTTCCTTATTATTCAAATTCCAATTTTCTCCTATTAAGGATGGAGATTGATAGAGATTTTGAGAGAATAGAAACAAAGAGTCAAAATTCAAGGCGCGCCTCTTATTTCAATTCCTATAGTTATGATATTGGCTTCACAGTTAGACCGTCTCACACAAAAATTTGTATATCCAAGGATTTAGCGGTTGATAGGAGCGCTTGGAGGCTAACTATCAACGTGCCAGAACCGTGATTTTTTCTCCTTTTTCTCTTTCTCTCTTTTTTTTTTTTTTTTTACTCTTCCTTTTGGTTCGAGTCTTTTTGTGTTTCTCTTGGATTTCATCTTTAACCTACCCCGACTTGTTTGGGACTAAAGGCTATGTTGTTGTTGTTGTTTACTTAGATTAGATTAGAGTAGACAATTCAGAATCATTACAATTTTCATAATCTGCACAATACGCAACACAATCAGAAATTCAATGCAAAAGCAAATCCCATCAACACACGTTGGATACTGTATCGATCGAATCAAAAAAAAGAAAAGGGAAAAATAAACAAGAAGTGCTTTTCTACTTCTAAGCAAGCTTACTGCAAATCCACTCCAAATGTTAGCTTGCTTTTACAATGTTCTTTCATTCTCATCACTACCCTGATTCATTCATTCATACTATCCTTCAACACAACAGGAAATTATCAGAGCAGCATCAAAACAAACCCATAAACAAAAAATATTAGCCTCGATACATATTCCCAGAACTGACGCGAAACAAAATCACAAAGTCACCTCCGAACAGGATTTCCACCATGTGAAATTGGATTCAGCTCATAACCAACTCCAACTCTGCCACCTGGCGTCGAGCCATAAGCCACATTATTATTCACAGGTACCTGTCCTTGGGGCGGCCTCACAGCACCCCTAGACGACCCATGAGCATCTTCACCAGAGCTTCTTTGTGGATCGTAAGCAGGAACATTTTGGGCCCGGGCTTCATGCCCGGGTCCCTTTTGGGCTTCATAGCCCGGCCCAGTTTGCCCCCTTTGGGCGTCAAAGTTAGTTCCAGTGGGCCCCCTGTGAGGATCATAACCAGTTTGGAAAGGTACACCATAAACAGGCCCTCCTCTGGGGGGATCACGACCAGCCACTGGACCATATGGGCCCGCTTGGGCTAGAACATGAGGGGAATTACCCCCTGGACCAGGACCAGGTACACCAGCAGGTACTCCCTGCCCCTGCTTTATATGGTTAAAACACAATCAGAGGTAATTCATAAAAACGAATGCCATGATTGGAAAATTTGTAACATAAGTGACCTGGAGAATTTCGTAACTTTTCTAGAACAAGCAATAGTTTTCCAGCTTTTGTTCACAAAATCAACATAAAATTAACACATTGGATGTTGGGACAGATTGGTGAGGTACGTTCTTATTGCGAACTACAAATTTTGATACCTGTATGTATTTACCTCAGGGTATTCCATGTGAAAATTTATCGATCAATCTCATATTACTTGTATATGTATATACCTGAACTGTACCATAGGCGTTTGTACCGGATGGATAATTCCCCACTGGAAGACCTTCATTGTATCCAGCAGGGGCACTGTATGGCGCACCTGCATTAGCATTATAATACACAATTGATTAGGAAGTAAAAAATGACAGTAAAGCTAAAAGAACACACAAGATACGGAATTAAATCTGCATATAATCTAACACCTGTTCGTGGGTCAAATTTTGTTGAATTAGTTAGCTCTGCCCTCAGCTTCTCCACCTCCCTTGACATTGACATATAGCTCTTCTCCATCACCTGAAGAGATTCAAGGTGGTCATTGTATAACTTCTTCTCGTAGTCATAAGTAGCCCTGCGCGTCAAATCCCATAAACATTACACCTTTATTTAAAAAGGTAAATAGAATTTGAAATTCAAGAAGCAAGCCTCTTGGACATGATCAAATCCCCCTGTGGCCTGTGGGGTACTAAAGAGTAAAGATGGGATAATTGCATATCAGGACCCAAGATTTAATTTTTGCCTCAAGACAGGGGTGGGGTTTAATTTCCATATATACTCGATTCAGGACTCGCAATTTATCTATTCATCTTCGGCCACCCCTCTGAGAGGGAAAAAAAAATCTAACCTCCGAACAATGCACCCACACATAACAAAACTAATTTATATTACCCTCATCATATCATCATTTAGAGATTGCATCTTNACCTTCGAGATCAGCTCCTGTCGAGCAGCCAACAAGCCCTGCGCCTCACCCCGCGCTTTCTGCAGCTCGTTTTTCAGTGGCTCAGCAGCCTGAAGCTCCTTCTCCATGGCCGCCATCTTCTCCAGCATGCTCCTTGCTTGCCGCTCTTTCTCAGCCCTCACTTCCGCAATGTGGGCATGCACTGACTGAATTTCATGCTTGGCGACGGCCAAATCCTGCCGAAGATTACCGTGAGTCGCTGCCAGCCTGCGGTTTTCAGTGACGAGCTTCTCGATCTCCACGTGCTGCGTGGAGAGCTTGTGGGCCATTATCTGGTTAGGGGGCAGCATTTCAAAGGGTGGGAAGCTGCCGCCAGGCGGGCGGGGGGCAGGTGGGTATGGGTCAGGGTGGACCGATGCAGGGCCCAAGTTGAGCGGGTGGCGGAGGTGGGGAGGAGGAACTCGGCCTTTGCTTGTCATGATTAAGTCACGGCCTTCACAATTAGTTCAGACAATTCAATTAGAATGTTTTTGAGGAATCACAAACTAGACGTTACAGCAAATAAACACCATACAAAAATGTAACTAGAGAGTTATGATTTATGGATACTCATGAACAAAAGATCCGTGCTTGCCTATTATAGAGAAGCTAGCTAAGAGCACTTATTGAAAAAACTTCATAATCAGGAAAGAAAAAGAACTGAAGTTAAGCCATCAGTCAAAACAGCTCAACCATGATTTTCTTTTATCATCTGAATAAAGTGTTTTTACCGGCATGCCGATTAAAGAAACTTCGTATATTATATCATCTAATAATCGTGGCGGCCGATCTGCTAACGGTGATTTTCACGCAACCTAATCGATTAACGAGCATTGCGATAAACGGAATCCTTTCTTAAACTGCCTTACTCAACAAAAATTCGCAAAGTCCTACAATTCGCATAGACAGAAACGAGAAATCAGAATGAAAATGGGGCGTTAAATTACCTTGTGCAACCCTAATTAGAGCGGTGGAAAAATGAAAATAGGAAACTGCCGTTCTACGATAGTGACGACCTCAGAAAATCTGTAATTTCCTTAAAATTAAAATTCGAGATCGGTGTATCCTCGCTCGACGCCGTAGGCGACGGAGGTCATGCTTGCGGTCGAGGTGGCGACGGCAAAATCGCGGTGGTCGGAGTTCAGGTGGGGGCTGGGGAGGTCAGGGTTTTGATGTGATGCACTATAGAGATACCACAATTGTAAGAAATTTTGTGCGAGTTCGCGTGATTAATTTATTGTCCAAGCACGAATTTGAGGCCCAATATTGTGGAATTGAGGCAATTTGTTGTAGGGAAATTTTTATCCCTCGTACACATTTCTAAAAAAATTATAACTGTATCATATACATGCAATTAATTGTTACTTTGCCTAAAAGATAATTCTCCCTCATTTTTTTAATAAATGTCATTTTAAAAAGTTGCACAATAATTAAAAATATTTTTTTTGTCAATAATAACCCTCATTAATGATAATAGAGATGAATGTTTTGAAAAAAAATAAATAAGTGAATATGAAAAGAGTAGATATTTATTAGTTAAATAAGGGTAATAATGAAAAAATATTTACAAAATATCCAAAACGTCATTCAATTGATTAATTGTTGATAAAGTCAAAATAACATTTATAAAAAAAAAGGAGGTAGTACTTATCTACATTAATGCATAATGGTAGTTACCATTTAATTCCAACCACTCTCCACGTGCATTTAATTTGTCTGATTCAGTTACCATATCAATTCAACTTGCTCTCCTTATTTTGCCCGTGATTTGCGTCCATTTGCTAAAAAAAAATGTTTTTTGAATTTTGTTGTGAAAAAAGTTACGCAAATAACCACAAAAAAAGTTGATAGGTCGGTTAAAATCAAGGTATATTTTATCCTCCTGCCATGTAAAAAAAATATATATTTCATATATACTATAAATACACAAATCATATACTATACGTATAACACAACACAACACAAAACAATAGAGGCGCGATCGATCTTTTTTTTTTTTTAAGAAAAGTTACGCAAATATACCACAAAAAAAAGTTGACAGGTCAATTAAAATCAAGGTTGATTGGAGGTTGAATGGATGTTGAATTGATATGGTAACATGATATATATTGAATATATACTAACATAAACGCAACATATACAATCATATATGCAAACCGTAATGATGGTATATGTATTGTATATATTTTCCATGATTTTACTAAATATAAACCATACATATGCCGAAAATATATTGAATATAAATGATACATATAAAAGGGGAACGATATAAACACGATACAATATGAGGGGTATGAAAATATACCGAAAATATACCCGTTGCATCACACAATCCTTTAGGAAAACAAAAGATTTAACACTCGACTGTTCACATCTCAAGGGATCAATCAACTGAATTATCGTTCGAGCCGAATTTTATGTGTCTATGATATGTATCTATCTTGCTGTTCTTGGAGAAGCTTTGCAGATGATTTGGCATCGAGATAGAGAGAACTCACTTCTTCAAGATCCGCCTGAAAAAAAATAAATAAATAAAAATAAATATTATTATTAAAGCTTTTTTCTCCTAATAATCGTTTATATCATGTCCTTGCAAAGATCAATAATCAGAATATGGTCTTTACCTTGGAAATTACAATTCAATGACATCATCCCCTCGTCCAGAAAGCATCGAGCATCATCCCTGCTCGTCGGAGTCTAAGAGAGAGATAGGGCCGCATGTGAAGAATAGAAAGAGAGGGGGGAGAGGAGAGAGACGTAATTGATGGGAAGTTAAATGTAAATAGGAATGGAAAGTTACCATATAAATAAGAAATCGGCTTTTTAGTCATATATACAAATAAATATAACAAATTAAGTTAATTTGTAAATAATTATATAGGGGATGTAATTATGTAATATTTTCAGGCCCACAATGTAATTAGAATGAATTGTGTTGTACTAGGTCTCAATAGAACCGATAATATCCTCAAACACTTGATTCAATGGATTAGTCGGATAAAGATCAGAAAAATCAAAATGACCGAGGGAGATTATTTTATTAATCAAATTTTGTGTTTTTACATTTGTATTTGGGTGTTACGTGTATTTGTTATTCTGTTTTCTCCTTTTTGTAAGGAGTGTTTAGCCTCCCTAGTATTATTCTTCTTTTCTTACATTGTTAGTCCCACTTATGGTGCATGTAAATCCCATGTATTGAATCCATATTATTCACTCACAAACAATAATTAAGTGAAGTTAAAAACTTAATATCATCACAAAGTGAAAACCAATTATACATGCAAAGATTACAACCTCATCCATACAAATTCAATAGCCTTACAAGGAGAAACTCAAACATTTTGCCAACATCTCAAACGAGGAAAAGTCTCACAAGCTTACACACACATTGTTGCCGGCCCGGTAACTCTTGTAAGCTTTAGCCAGAATGGAAAAGGAGTAAATGATTCCAGTTATCAAAAGTTATCTCGTCAGATTTGATAAGCAAATAGGAAAAATTCTCAACTCAGTTTGGTCTGAGGTATATTGGCCAGCGATGCTTTTATTTTCTCCTCGGAAAACGACAAGTCAACAAGTCCCCCTTGCAGATACTTCTCATAAGCCGGCAAATCAAAATGGCCGTGTCCACACATTGCCATGAGAATAACTTTTGGTTCGCCCGTTTTCTTGCAATGGAGAGCTTCCCTTATAGTGGCAGCTATTGCATGAGTTGGTTCAGGAGCCGGTATCAAACCCTCAGACCTAGCAAACTGTATTGCCCCTGAACAAACAATAAAACAAGTTCGACTATTTTCGATTACTCGACACCTAACAAGTAGATTGTGCTCATAGCAATCAGAAGGTCAAGTAGTCAAGAGTGGTTTATATATTTATGATCATTAGATTGACTTGTACAAAATTCGTTCGGTTTGTAAACATGAAATATCATTTTCCACTAGAAGCAAAGTTTTTGCAGAGCATTTGAGACTTGCTGAGATTAATCACTTACCTGCAAAGCATTCAGTCTGAGCGATTGCAATTGTTTCCATGAAACCCAATTCATACACATGCGAAATCAGTGGAGCCATGCCATGGTACCTCAGCCCCCCTGCCAAGAAAAAAACAAAAAATATAATTAAATAGTAAAAAATGCATCTTGAATAGAAAAACTCAGAAAAACCAATCAAAACCCAACAACATAACTCGGCTAAATTGCATTTTTAGTCCTGCCGGTGTGGCGCCATAGCAATTTTAATCCCAAAATTCTAACATTTTGCCTTTTGGCCCGTGATTTAACATTTTGCTGCAATTTTAGTCATCTCATTTGAGACTGAAATTGCAACAAAATATTAAATCACAGGACCAAAAGGTGAAAAGTTTGAACTTTGGAATAAAATTGCTATTACGAAATGCATTTTTGCCATATAACTCATATCACATAATTTCGACTCACCAGCATGAATAGGATCCGGTATAAAATCATGCCCGAGTGTGTGCATCTTCATCAAGGGAGTCATCCCAGCCGTATCACCATAATCATAAGCATAAACACCCTTCGTCAACGAGGGGCAGGCAGCCGGCTCGACTGCCCGAATAACAGGATTAATCTTCCCATTAATTTTTTCTCTAATAAAAGGAAATGCGAGCCCCCCAAAATTCGACCCGCCACCCGTGCACCCTATAATCACGTCCGGAGTCTCGCCAATAGCCTCCATCTGTTGTATGCATTCCTCGCCTATGACTGTTTGGTGCAGGAGCACGTGATTGAGAACACTCCCCAAACAGTACTTAGTGTCGGCGTTTTTAGCAGCAATCTCCACAGCCTCGGAAATGGCGATTCCAAGACTTCCTGGGCTTGAGGGGTCGTTTTCGAGTATTTTGCGCCCGGATTCAGTTATTGTGGAAGGTGAGGGGTGTACTTTGGCACCCCAAGTTTGCATCATCAGCTTACGGTAAGGTTTCTGGTCATAGGAAGCGCGTACTTGCCACACCTTCAGCCGAAAGAAACAATAATGCTCGGTTTTGAAAATCATTTTATTCCATTTAAGAAAGGAAAAGCAAAAAAGGGAATGCCGTGAGTTTTAATTAGGTGTATCACATTTCAGAAAATACACTATTGTTCATGGAATCCTCATTTTTTTGTCTGTCTCAAATAAACTACATCAACACACTTTTACTGCACATTTCCATATATACAAGTCTACACCAGTAATGAACTCGCTCGGTAGCATTGACCAATCATTTATACCAATAACCGGCTAAAGTTTTTACATCGCATCAAATGTTTTCATCTCACGACCATCTCTAGTGTTATGTTTTGAGATTTATAAAAAAGGCCTATAAAAGTACTAATTAACTACATGTAGACTTTTTAAGAGTCTCCAAAGTTCAAAATGCATGCATCAGAACTCTAAAACTCTTACAACCTTAAACATTTCAACTAATACAACCCCGTAAATATAACTTATCCAAATTATTCTCTAATGATTTGATTATGAAAGTGAATGAAAGGAAAGTATGTCCATTCACATCCTTAAAAGTTCAAACAGCAGAGTCCAATAACTAAGAGACATTTTATCAAACACTTAGATGACCATTTTCACATAAACAAAAAACAACAAAATCAGAAAAAAAAAATTAAAAAAAAAGGAAAAAAAGAGTAGCTTACTTCACAGTTGAGACCAAACAAGCTGCACGCAAAGGCCAACGAGCTCCCCCACTGGCCGGCGCCAGTCTCAGTGACCACGTTCCTCACCCCTTGCTGGGCGTTGTACCAAACCTGAGGCACGGCTGTGTTCGGCTTGTGGGACCCAGCGGGGCTGACGCCCTCGTACTTGTAGTAGATCCTCGCCGGCGTTCCCAGCAGCTTCTCCAATCTCTTGGCCCTGAATTTCAATGGCACATCACAATTTCGATCATCGAAGCCCCAATTTATCCGCACAGGCACAATGTTGCGAGCAGGCAACTAACCTGATCAGAGGTGTCGGGCGCCATAGACGGTAGACGTCGATAACCTCTTCGGGGATGTCGACGAACCTCTCTCCGGTGGCCTCCTGCCTGATCAGCTCGTCCGGGAACAACGGCGAGAGATCCTCCGGCTTCATCGGCTCGAACGTCTGAGGGTGCAGCGGCGGCGGCGGCTTCACCGGGAGGTCGGCGATCAGGTTGTACCATCGGCGAGGGATTTCGACGGATGCGCGTGCTGATATAGCTTGTACCCTGAAGATGCGCGTTGGCCGGAGATGGGTTTGGGATTTGTTGGGCGAGGAGAATGCCAGACGTTGATTGTCTCCTACGGATCAAAAAATAAATTGATGAAAAAACTTTGACTTTCATGGAAGACAAAAATACATTCAATGAAAGTGTAACATTAGGGTGTAAGAACGTGAATAGGGGGACAAGGAAAATCTCTTGTTTAACCATTTTCAGTTGGAAATCACAGCAAAAGCAGGGACTGGAGACAATAGTACAAAGAGGGCAGATTTCAATACTCCCTCAGTGGATAATGTCGGATTTTAGCCGTTCGATCAACACACACCTGCACATATGTGTGTGATCTGACGGCTAAAAATCCCGAGCACTACAAAGGGTTGAAATTTTTCTGACAATAGAGTTCAGACAAGTAGAAAATCTTAAAACAAAACAGATATGAAATTGGAGAAAAATGATATCTACCTTTAAAGCGAAGTTGTGGTTTGGCAGATGTACGGAGCGTGAAGGACTGTGCCATTTTTCTTGTGTACTTAACAACTGTAAGATTAGTTTCTGAAACTCACAAGTCTATGTTAATGTTAGTGAGGTTAGGGAATCCGCCTTTGACTTGTAAACATACTCGCAAAGTGGTTAGGTAGCATTAAAGTGGATATAAATGAGGGACGGTACTATATTGCCAAAAAAAAAAGAAAAAAAAAATTGAATCTAAACCAAATCATACTGCTGGTCTTGGTTTTCGATTTTGCATCGATTTTTTTATACATGTGTATTTAAATTGGTACGGTTCGATTAATTATGTAGGAATAAGCAACAGCTCAGTTCGGTGCAAAATTTTATGAAACTGCAAAAAATCGAATCTATGGACAATATAATTAAAATCTAAACCAGATGTTTGTACCGAAATGTACCGTTCGTATCTGTTATCGATTTTACTATACGTTTGTATTTAATTTGATAAGATTCGATGAACAGTAAGTGAAAACAAAAGTATAAAAAGAAGATAAGAAATGAAAATGATATGTTGCTGTATGTGATTTCTGATAATTTTTATTGATTCAATACAAAGCAAATGTACATGCATATATAGCACAGCAAGTAGCTATACTAGGAAATATTCTGTATCAATTACAATCAACTTAAATGATATGTAATCCCTGATTTTCTTCATTTCCTGCAATTAACAAATCTTCCCATAATACTCCCCCTCAAATTGGTGTGTGTATGTCATGAACACTCAATTTGTTGAGAATTGGCTGAAAATTGGATGAACTGAGTGGCTTAGTAAACAAATCAGCAAGTTGTCCCTTTGAAGGAACGTAAGCAGTCTCTATGTCTCCTGATTGAATTTTTTCTCGAACAACATGACAATCTATCTCTATATGCTTTGTCCGTTCATGGTAAACCGGATTAGCCGCAATATGTAACGCCGCTTGACTATCACAAAATAGTTTCGCTGGTCGTGGGTGTTCTACTCGCAAGTCACTCAACAAGTATCTTAGCCATGTGAGCTCACATGTAATTGAAGCCATTGCTCGATATTCGGATTCTGCTGAAGACCTTGACACAGTCGTTTGTTTCTTTGTTTTCCATGAAATGAGAGCTCCTCCAAGAAAGATGCAATACCCAGTTACCGATCGTCTTGAGATTGGACAACGAGCCCAATCAGAATCACAGAATCCTGTTAATAGAAAATTCGCCTTGGCTGGAAAAAATAGTCCTCTCCCAGGTGCACCTTTAAGGTACCGTAAAAGATGATGGACAGCATCTAAATGAGGTTTCCTTGGTTCTTGCATAAATTGGCTTAAAACATGAACAGAATAGCTAATTTCCGGTTTAGTAATTGTGAGATAAATAAGTTTACCAACCAATCTTCTATAAATTGATGGATTTTTCAATTTATCTCCATCAGTGGGCAATAGCTTTATATTTTCTTCCATAGGAGTCGACAAAGGCTTGGCTCCAAGGAGACCTGCTTCTTCTAAAATATCAAGTGTATATTTTCTTTGAGATATTGAAATACCAGTAGCTGAACGGGCAACTTCAACTCCAAGGAAGTATCGTAATTGGCCGAGGTCTTTAATCCGGAACTTTGTACCAAGGAAGTCTTTTAGAGCGCCGATTTCTCCATTATCATTACCTGCTATGATCATGTCGTCAACATAGATGAGTACAACAGTGAAACTATCACCAGAAACTTTAGTAAAAAGTGAATAGTCAGCCGATGATCGTTGAAAACCATTTTGTTGGATACTATCGGAAAACTTATGAAACCAACTTCTGGAAGCTTGCTTTAGCCCATATAATGATTTGTTTAGTCGGCACACCATAGGTATCTCCCCCTGCCGACGAAGACCGGGAGGTGGTTGCATGTATACTTCTTCCGTTAAATCGCCATGAAGGAAAGCATTTTGTACGTCCATCTGTTCAATGGTCCAGTTACGAGCAGCAGCTACGGCAAGCAAACAACGAACAGTCGTTAATTTTGCTACCGGCGCGAATGTCTCCTTGTAGTCGATTCCTTCTCGTTGATTAAACCCCTTGGCTACTAAACGAGCTTTATAGCGCTCAATTGTGCCATCGGAATTATATTTAATTTTGTATACCCATTTAGAGCCAATGGGACGATGACCAGGGGGGAGAGTTGTAAGTGTCCAGGTGTTATTTTCCTCAAGGGCTTTTATTTCTGCATCCATAGCCTTACGCCAATTTGGATCAAGTATAGCCTGTTCATAATGAGCTGGCTCTACAGGTGTATTAATAGCACAAATAAATTTATGATATTTTGGCGAAAGATGCGAATAAGAAATATACCTGGACAAAGGATGACGCGTGCCCGAAGCAGAAGATTGGCCATGATCTGATTGGGAAATATTATAAAGGTGGTAATTCTTCAAATGAACATTTGACTGTCTAATGCGATCAGAACGACGTGGAACATTGGGTAATGGATGCTCAGTGATATTAGTATCAGGAATATTCTCATTTTCAGGAAGAGTATTATTGTCTGTTTGTACATCTTCTGAAGTGGAAGGTAACGGGATGACAATTTCATCAAGTTGGTCTTCTTGATGGTTCATGCGGAATGGAAATATATGCTCATGAAACACGACGTCTCGCGACGAAAAGAATTTATTAGTTACAAGATCATAAACTCGATAACCTTTTTGACCAAATGGATAACCAACAAATATGCATTGACGAGCTCTTTGATCAAATTTATGTACAGGTAGAAGGTTAGTAGCATAGCAAAGACATCCAAAGGTTCGAAGATGATTATATATGGGAGTCTTATTATGCAAAATTTCATAAGGAGATTTATATGAGAGAAGGGGTGTAGGCAACCTGTTAATTAGATAGCAAGCTGTTTGTATACTTTCTCCCCAAAATTTTAAAGGCAAATTTGCCTGAAAACGAAGAGCTCGTCCCACATTTAGAAGGTGACGATGTTTTCTCTCAACTACTCCATTTTGTTGGGGAGTTGAGGGGCATGAATGGTGATAATTTATTCCCTTAGTTGCTAAATAATCTTTCATTGATAAAATTTCTGTACCATTGTCAGTTCGAAGAGTTTTGATCCTGCAACCAAATTGTGTTTCAACCCAAGAAATAAAAGATTTTAATAACTCTTGTGTTTCTGATTTAAAACTCATAAGATGTATCCAAGTATATCTAGAATAATCGTCGACTATTGTCAAAAAATAACGAGCACCAGAATGAGATTTTATTTTATGCGGCCCCCAAATATCACAATGTATCAAGTCAAACGGTGATTGAGAAGAAATTGTACTGGAAGGAAAAGATAAACGTGTTTGTTTTGCAAGGGGACAAATTTCACAAATATGCTTTGAATCAAAACAAATTTCAGGAATAGTTTTATTTAAGACTTGAAGAGGACCAGATGACGGATGCCCAAGTCGGCTATGCCAAATATTCGAGATATTATTTAAAGTGCATGCTAAAATTAAATTTTCATTCTGCTGTAGGTAGTAAAGGCCATTATGTTGCTTGCCCAGGCCAATCGTCCTCTTCGTAGCAGCGTCCTGCACAACACAAGAGTCCGGGGTAAAAGTTACTGTACACCCAAGTGCTCGAGTTAGTTTGCTCACAGATAATAGATTAACTTGGAAATCTGGAACTTTAAGAACACCCTCGAGTTTAATGTTGTGTGTAATATCTAATGAACCAACTGACTCGATATTTGCCTGACCACCATTTGGCATATTAATTATTGTTTTTCTAGACAAATTTTGTGAATTTAATAGCCTGAATGAGGACGTGACGTGATCAGTGGCTCCACTATCAATAATCCAACCAGAATTTAAGTGCTGAGAATTATGAGATATTGGTTTGATAGTACCTGTAGTATTAGAAAATCGTTGAGAGTTACCGTCATTGTTTTTCTGAATTATGGCCAATAGTTGATTGTACTCCTCGGTTGTAAGTCTTGGCCCATCAAGGTTCTGAACAGACTTCCCGCTGCTATCTGGTGCAATGTTTCTCTCCAGTTTTACATTATTTGCAGTATTTTGGCGTTGATTTGGAGGTTTCACATTTTTTCCGTGTAGTTTATGGCCGGTAGGAAACCCATGAAGATAATAGCATCTTTCAATGCTATGATTGTTGAGATCACAATAGGAACAATGTCGTTGCGTCTTGTGTTTTTGAACTTTATGGACTTGAGAAATTTTTGAATTTTGATCTACCAGCATGGCATGATGATTCATATTTCCTTGATTAATGGAGACTTCAACCTGTTTTTCTTGTTGTAGAATGAGAGAATAGACTCGACGAGTGTCTGGTAGAGGTTGCATTAGTAGGATTTGTCCACGAGCAGCAGCGTAACTCTCGTTTAGTCCCATGAGAAATTGCATAACTCTCTCTTTCTCATCCCTTTTCTTGAGTTGTTCCAGTCCTCCACAAGAGCATGTTAAAGGCTCATGATATGATGAAAGCTCATCCCAAAGGGCTTTCAGTTTTGTGTAATAAACTGAGATGGATTGTTGCCCTTGTCTATGTTCCACAATCTCTCTTTTTATTTGAAAAATTCTGGAGTCATTTCCTTGTGAGAAGCGCTCCTCAAGATCAGCCCAAATTTCTGATGCGGTTTCAGCATAAATGACGCTACTTGCTATATCTGGGTGAATCGAGTTCAATAGCCACGAAATCACCATGTCGTTGCATCTTTGCCAATATGGAAATTTCGCATCGGATTTTGATGGTGCTTTGACTGAATTTGTGATGAATCCAATCTTATTTTTTGCGCTCAGACTTATTCTCATTGCACGACTCCAAGTGCTGTAATTATCGCCTTCCAGTACCTTGGAGACGAGTATCATGCCTGGGTGGTCTGATTGTTGTAGAGAGTATGGATCTGAAAATTCTACACCAGATCCAGACATTTTGGTTTGAAGATTTTCTTCAGTACTCATGGGGTTACGAGATATAGCGGAAGCGTTGGAAATATTTAGTCACCAGGTTCAGTTCTCTGATGCCATGAAAACAAAAGTATAAAAAGAAGATAAGAAATGAAAATGATATGTTGCTGTATGTGATTTCTGATAATTTTTATTGATTCAATACAAAGCAAATGTACATGCATATATAGCACAGCAAGTAGCTATACTAGGAAATATTCTGTATCAATTACAATCAACTTAAATGATATGTAATCCCTGATTTCTTCATTTCCTGCAATTAAC